TAGAATCAACAAAAGGAGCAACAACGTCAATTTTCAAATTGGGTAAAATCGAATGAGGGAATTATGCATTCAGGGATGTTGATTTCTTGTAAATCGGGCGGTCATCAGGGACTCTTGTTCTCCGGTGCTTGTCAGTTTATGTTGATTAAATTTTACTCAAAGGACGCTGCAGGTGAGGGACAGGAGCTATGGTTAAATCTCATTTAGTAAGCTAAGTACGATTTTTGCTTTCAGCACCTTTTACCTGGTAGAGGAAGGCTAAAAGACAACACGACGAACAATAACTCACATAAACACTCAGGTCAGCCCATGAGTACAATCGCTACTAGTGGCAGCCCCAGCATCAATTTATGCAAATTAATGGCCTTACTGGTTCGCCAACATTCGGTTTATTTTCCAAATATTTCCCGTGCTTACTTAGGGTCATTTAATATCCGTTATCTGCGCCAAATGGAACCGAGACCTGCTGGTGTAGGATGATGACCAACGTGCGCAAACGAGACCACAAAAGAGGCTTAGAAATTTTAGCACTGCGGCCAACCGTCCCCACCCACATGTATGATAAATTCGTAACATGATCCGTTGATTTTCGGAATGCGTGTCCATTTTAGGTTCCGGCAGTGTGGCAGCGGGTATTACGGTGATACATTACAAACAACCAGTGCCGGATGGCTTTGGCTGGGAGGGCAACTGTTCCGGTGATCATTCGGGATGTTTGTCCGTTTTCTTTTTCACAAAAGTGGCCCGGAATCAACCGAAAAAGAACCGGCCGAGCAGCAGAGCACTCAAAGCACTTTCACCATGTGAGAAGAAAAAATATTGAACACACGAAAAAGCAAGACCTCGGCAAAAGCGTCACGCACCAGGGACGTGTCTCATCATCGTTTGTCGGTAGCCGCACCAGCAGGATCGAAGCACATTGTCGCGCGAGAAGAGTATCCATGTGGCATGGTCCACGATAGTGGGTTCGTACTAATTGAAAGGCCACAGGCACACCGCAAAGCACAACGATGACGACCACTTTCATCTGACCGGAATTGGAGGAAGTCATGTGTGGGCACACAAATTGCCGTTTCGGAAGGATTGTACTCTTTTTTTTTGAGTGAAAGTGGATTTTATTTGGTTGAGAATTTGCATAATGGTTCCCTTGCTCGCGGTTGGATACTTAGTTGGCCTTGCTACTGTTAACCTTCTGCCAAGATGTGCTTTATGGTTTTTTTTTTGTCGTGTTGTATAATTATTAGTGATGTTTTCGGTACGATATGGTAGGAGTGGAACAATTTGCAAATATGATAGTCAAACTGGAGATTTTTTTTAATTATAGGACACAATGGGTCGAAGTGTCTGCGAATGTTATAAGGGGAACTGGGGGTAAGCCCGGTCCCTTAAGCATTAGGATTGTTTAAAATTACAAGTGAGCTTGCTGTAATTTCCATACAAAATATTCATTCGGATAGCTCTCCATACGATCTTAGATAATTAAAACATAGATTGCTCAGTCGGGCATCCCTGCTTTTACTCGAAAAGTAACATTGATAGCGCGCTATATGTTGGCCAACGGGTGAGCTAAAAGTTTAGCAGCCGAAATGGGTGCGCATTTTGAATCAAAACTGCCCAGCGTAATGTTAATTTTTTGGATGGCACATTCCACGTGTGAAGTGGAAAATTGAAATTGTTTATGCCACATCGGTTTTGTTTTGCTTTTTATTAGCTGTGTTCAATCTTAAGTGGTGGAGAAATATTGTCAATAATAATGATAATGTACAACTGTATTGTCATGAATATCGTCAACCTCTATACATTCCGATTCCGAATCGCTAAATTGAAAGTCAACATCCATCGAACTAATGCCATCTAAACGTAAAATTTGGCTCGCAACTTTCCGATTTAAAGACGGAGCAGCTAATTCCTTAGTTTTGCAAAGCGGAATAATGAGGTCGTCATCCTGATCGCTGCAAATAACCGACTCTTTCGAGAATTTCATAACACCGCAGACGTTAATCCATTTCTCTAAGTCTCTTGAGCTGAATCCCAAGAAAATATCATTCAAATTTTCATCCAAAAACAACAGCTAGGGAAACACCATTTTTTTCACTTGAAGCTTGTGAAACGTTTTTGAACTTGGACTGGAAGCAGCTCTCGTACAATTTTGAAACTCCCATCGTCGAAGCCCTATTTTGGTTTCTGGTATGAATCATTGTTGTTTCAGATAGAAATCGGTACTCAAAGTGTTTGTTCACGCAAGTGCAGATATTTATACACGTTAATCACAAATTACTCTGCACGCTATAATTAAATAAGCCGTATATAGCTAATGTTTACTCAAATTGGGCGCAATTTGGACGAACCAAAACATGGGAAAATTTATGTCAATTTTGCATAAAAATAAATCATATACGTTGGCCACACTGGCCTGAGCACACCTACCGTTGGAACCTACTTGTGTCGGAACACCCCTGCAGTGGGTTCGGCAGCGAAGTGACAGCGGAGTGACAGATATCGATCTGTCACACCGGGTGAGTAGAGGAGAAAAACAACCGAGAACAAAGCAAAACAAGTGTAAAAGTAAATTCATCGCTCTCGTTATTCTTAAAATTATCTAGTAATCTAGTGAACTTAATTATAGTTGAACTTAAAGCTAATGTGATTAGTCACTACTAGGTTTATCTTATATCTACACACTAAATTAGGTAAGTTTAATACAATTAAACTTAGCTTAAATGTAACTAAAAACTATGCTTACGCACTAGGTAACCTAAACCTATCATTGAACACCATACACTCTACTCCGTGAAACCCGTAGCCACTGGTATCGGTAAGAAGTTAAAGCAAAAGTATGTATAAAATGTATATCGATGATCTTACTTACAATTACCTAAACTAGGGCTTACAACTAAACACTTCGACGGCATCACGCTAGACAACACCCGAAATTATACTAAAAGGAAACTAAACGTAAGTCACAAAATTATAATCTACACTTACAACTAGGACTAAAATTAGGTTGAGAACATAATGATAAACAATGTCATGTACACTCTACCTACATTCCAACCTTAAGCAATATCAAGGCCACATAAATATATATATAGACTAACTAATTCCAATTGAAATTGTCGTTATCTAACACAGGAAATTATATTCTCGATATCACCGGATTATACGTCTTTTATTCGCTTCCGGTCGAGAATCATAGTATCAGAAACTTCCCGTTGAAACTGAATTTCAACATCATATAATTTCGTTTATTGAAACGGTACGGTCGGTCAAGCGAAGTGGCAGTAAATCCGATGCAACGGATGCCTTTCGAAGTGGATCTACTGAAATTGGAGTGATGAAAGGAGTAAATGCTACTGGTGGTGATGGTGGTGGTAATCCGGATGTGGTGACATTGGAGGAAACTGTGGAAGGACATACCTGCAGAACGTGTCAAGGTTCTGATACCGACGAAATGGTCCAGTGCGACGTATGTGATGGATGGCACCACTTTTCATGTGTAGGCATATCGGAGGAAGTTGCCGACAAGAGCTGGAGTTGTACAAACTGCGTGACTGCGAAATGGATCCAGCGAACTAAGGCAGCTTCGGATGGAGCACCTAGAAGGGATGACGTCATTCAACATCGGAGATCGCTGCAAGATCTAAGCATCGGGAAGATCGTGACAAGTAACCGTGGCAATCCAGTGATTCCTTCAGTTTCAGCATCACAAAAGTCAGCTAAGTCGTTGACAGTTCCGTCAACCAGTCAGCAGCCAGCGCCTTTAGACTCAGTGTTTTGTCAACCAAAGCAGAAGTCATCGTTGCCTGGCGTAGATGTGCCAGTAATCGTTGCAGAGGAGGCGTTTTCCGAGATTTCCATATCCTCTTCACAAAAATCTGCGAGAAACCGCGCCAAGCTTCAGCTGATGAGATTGCAGGAAGAACGAGCATTTCAGCAGCAGTAAGAAGAGCGCCGAAGACTCGCTGAGGAAAAGGCAGCCCAGGAGTATAAGGAATATCTGGACAACAAGTATAAAATTCTGGAGGACCTGGCGAGCAAAAAAGGATCGAGTCGGAGCTCTAACTTCTCTCGTCGTCGGGTTGAAGAATGGGTGCAAACAACTAACCCTGCACCCTTAGAGATAGCCAAACCCGTCACTCAGGAACAAGCCCGTGAACATAACGGCTTGCAAGAACAGCTACGTCAAGAGCAGCTTTAGGAGAAACAACAGCACCAGGAAACAGCCTTTCAAGAGCAACAACGGCAACAACGGTCGCACGCAGAACAGCTACAAAAGCAGCAACAGAAGCAGTTGGAGCGAGAGCAAAAATTTCGGCAGTTTCAACAGCATCAGCGGCAGGAGCAAATACGCCAGGAGAATCTTTTGCTACAGCAACAGGAAGAGTTAAAGAAGGAAGCGGATGCCATCAATCGAATGTGGGAACAGCAGTTGGAAAAGGAGAAAATTCTACGCGATCAACAACAACAGCTAGCGAATGGTCAAAGGGTCATGCGACGACCGGAAAATATAATTCTGTCCAACCAGATGCCAGATCCACAACTCAACCCCCCCACCGGAGAATATGGAAGAAGGGTTCTGCAGAGAGTCGATACGTAGGCATCCTGGTCAATTCCTACCAGATGCCCTACCACAGTCGACGCAGCTTCATCCGATAGAATTGGATTACCCGCATAGGTCAGCTGCGAATCCTATCGATAGACAGAGTAGGAGGCATTCAATAAACTCTTCTATTGTGGATGATGATGACCAGTTCCAGCTTTCCCGCTCTCAAGTTGCAGCACGACAAGCAGTCTCCAAAGATTTACCTACGTTTTCGGGCGATCCCGAGGAGTGGCCAGTTTTCATATCCATGTACAATCGAACGACTACGATGTGCGGATTTACGGAGGATGAAAACATAGTTCGACTACAGAAAAGCCTGAAAGGAAGAGCTTATGATGCTGTCAAAAGTCGGCTGATGCATTCCGGAAACGTACCTGGCATTTTATCAACATTGAAGATGCTGTTTGGTCAGCCCGAAGTAATCATACAATCGCTGATTCGTAAGGTGGGCTCTTTATCGCCAATCCGGGAAGACAAGCTGGAAACGCTAGTGGACTTTGCGGTGAACGTTCAAAACTTCTGTGCCACTGTAGACGCGTGTGGACTGCAGGAGTACATGTATAATGTCACTTTACTACACCAGCTTGTCGGAAAGCTACCACCGTCGCTTAAACTCAACTGGGCACAGCATCGACGAACACTGTCAACGGTCAACCTGGCGACCTTCAGTGAGTGGATTTATTGGCGGAAGCAGCGAGTGTTGTTGTATTCCCCTTGGTGGTTCAAGACGAGAAGCCAACTCCAAATGCACACGGGAATAAGAAAGGAAACACGTACCTTAACGCCCATTCTGAAACCATTCATCCTAAAAAGAATTACAGCAGCGACTTCGAAGAATCACCTACGGCAGAATCAACATCGTACCAGGAAGCCTGCCCAATCTGCAGGAGAAGTTGCAAGTCGGCTGATAAGTGCAATCGTTTTCTGGAGCTCTCTAGAGAATCGCGTTGGGCCGCCGTAAGGGAATTTGGCTACTGCCGTACATGTCTGCGCATCCATAAAGGATACTGCAAAGCAAAACCGTGTGGCAAAGACGGATGCACCTACCGGCACCACGAGCTGCTGCACAACGATTCGAAGGACAAGCCGAAAAGCACCGGAACTACGGCCAGGCGTGAGCAATCTCCGCAACCCAGCACTAGCAAGTCTGGATGCAACACCCATCAGACAACCGTCAGCTCAGTATTGTTCCGTTATCTCCCAGTAGTGTTGTACGGAAACAAGAGAGCAATACGCACGTATGCATTCTTAGATGAAGGTTCTGCATTAACGCTGCTCGATCAGGAGCTTGCTAACGAGCTTCAGCTTGATGGCACTGTAAGCCCTCTGTGTCTCCGGTGGACTGGAGGAACTGAACGACACGAGGCGGATTCTCGCATCTACAATCTTCACATTGGTGGTGTTAAGAACAAAAGCAAGAAATTCCTCTTGAGTGACGTGAGGACGGTGAAAGAGCTACTGTTGCCCCAGCAAACGATGGACATGGCTGAGTTGTCACAGTTGTATCCACACCTCCAAGATCTGCCGATCGAATCTTATCGCGACGCTCGTCCACGCATTCTTATAGGGATGAAGCACGCCCAGCTCAGTCTTGGCCTGAAAAATCGTGAAGGGGGAATCGGTCAACCAATCGCTATAAAGACACGCCTCGGATGGACGGTATGCGGAGGATGGGGTTCCGGGAACGACGCCAACCTACACCATTACACCTTCCACGTTTGCCCCTGTAGTGTGAAGTCAGACGAGGACTTGCACCAGGTTATGAAGGACTACTTTTCATTAGACAGTCTCGGGGTGGCTAAATCGGAGAAGGTGCTTTTATCCGTTGAAGATGAACGAGCATTTTCATTGCTTCAGTCGCTGACCCGTCGTAAAGATAATCGATACGAGTCCGGATTGCTGTGGCGATACGATGACACCCGATTGCCAGACAGTCGATCAATGGCGCTGCGTCGGTTGCAGTGCCTAAAGAAATGGATGGAGAAAGACCCGGAAATGTCAAAGAACCTGCAATCAAAGATAACCGAGTATGTGGAGAAGGAGTACATCCGGAAGCTTACAGACGAAGAAATCAACCAGAAGATTCCACGACGCTGGTATTTGCCAATTTTTCCCGTAACCAACCCAAACAAACCTGGGAAGGTGCGAATTGTGTGGGACGCAGCAGCTATCGCTCACGGCATGTCCTTGAACTCAGCGCTGGTAAAAGGACCGGATCTGTTGAGCTCACTTCTCGCAATTCTACTTCAGTTTCGGGAACGCCGCATCGGACTGACTGGTGATATCCGTGAAATGTTCCACCAGGTACTGATCCGAGCCGAAGACCAGTTATGTCAGTGTTTCTTCTGGATAGACGACCATGGAGCCATAGTAGTGTACGTGATGCAGGTTATTTTTTTTTTTATTATTACTTTATTTGTACAGGCTCAATCGAATAAACTTTACAGAGCCGATTTATCCTTTGCGTTATACATTATTACTGTCTTAAATTTAAAGTTAAAGGAACTGGACCGAGTACTCGCGGTTGTCTCGAGGTTAGTGGAGATTTACAATTTTTTGGATGGGAAAATGGAAGAAGGAGGTATGAAATGTGGTTTACGATACAACTATTTAATTAATCCTAAAGCATGAAGTTATTTCTATTCATCTTGAAAACAAACATTGAAAAAAAAAAACCCCACACGTACAAAATACAAACTAAACACAAGGTTAATCAAACTTACAATCTAAGGTTAATATCCTTAAAGTAAACATATATGAGTTTCATAAACTCCAGATCGCGTCTAGCCAAAATATCCCGAACTGGAACATTAGGTTGTCTACCTCGAGCCCGAAGGGAATCATAAAAATGTGATCTGACTCCACGATACTCCGCACAAGACCAAAGGATGTGATCAGCGTCCTGGTAACCTTGTCCACATTCACAGAGATTGCTGTCTCCCAACCCCACACGGAACAAGTGAGCGTTTAGACAATAGTGATTGGACATGAGACGAGACATCACGCGTATGAAGTCTCGACTCAAGTCCAACCCTTTGAACCATGCAAACTTCGACACCTTAGGGATAATTGAATGTAGCCATCGTCCCAAGCTCCCTTCACTCCATTGATGTTGCCAGCTAACGAGCGACTGCTGACGATAAATAGAGAAAAATTCACTATAGGCGATCTGTCGATCATAAATGTCGCCTTCCATAGCGCCCACCTTCGCAAGTGAATCCGCCTTCTCATTGCCCAAAATTGAGCAATGCGAAGGGACCCACGCGAAGGTGATGATGAAAGAGCGCACGGATAAAGTACTAAGCAGTTCTCGTATTTTCAAGAGAAAATACGAGAAGTGCTTTACCGGCCTAATGGAACGGATAGCCTCGACAGAACTGAGACTATCCGTAAAAATAAAGTAGTGGGCTGGAAGAAGTGAAGCAATAGTTTCCAAAGTGTAGTGAATTGCTGCCAGTTCAGCCACATACACAGAACAAGGAGCTTCAAGTTTTCGAGAGGCGCTATGAAATTCATTAAATACACCAAAACCAGCGGACTCCTCTATTAGAGATCCATCTGTGAAAAACGTTCTTGCAGAATCAATATGGCCAAACTTTGCAGCGTATAATGACGGAGCAATCATAGTACGATGATGCTCTGGAATTCCACGGATTTCCTGCGTCATAGATAAATCAAAATTAACTGAATTGCCGAAATCGGAGAAGACTACACGATTGGGAATATTTCTTGAAGGGCTGACATCCTGTGTTAAATATAGGTAGTACAAAGTCATAAAACATGTTTGAGGATTTAGCTCCAGAAGCTTCTCAAAATTTTCGATCACCAGTGGGTTCATTACTTCGCAACGGGTGAGGAGCCTCAGAGATAACTCTGAAAAACGGACGGATAGTGGCAACATGCCCGCCAGCACTTCGAGACTCATAGTATGAGTCGAGTGCATGCATCCTAACGCGATACGAAGACAACGATACTGGATCCGTTCCAGCTTGATGATGTGCGTTTTAGCTGCCGACTGGAAGCAAAAACTACCGTACTCTAAAACCGATAAAATCGTTGTCCGGTACAACGTCAGAAGATCTTGTGGATGGGCTCCCCACCACGTTCCGGTAATTGATCGAAGGAAATTGATCCTTAGTTGGCATTTTCGTCTCAGATACTCAATGTGGGATCTCCAGGTGCATTTGGAATCGAACCAGACCCCGAGATATTTAAAAGACATGGAATGAGTGATCGGTTTACCCAAAAGTTGAAGCTTCGGTTGTGCTGGGCTATGCTTCCTAGAAAAAACGACCAACTCAGTTTTCTCCGTGGAGAATTCGATACCTAGCTGAATAGCCCAAGTAGACAAATTGTCCAAGGTATCCTGTAAGGGTCCTTGCAGGTCAACCTCTTTTGGCCCTGTGATAGACACTACGCCATCATCTGCAAGTTGTCTCAACGTGCAATTGTCACTAAGACAATTGTCAATTTCTCTAACGTAGAAATTGTACAAAAGGGGGCTTAAACATGAGCCTTGGGGGAGACCCATGTAGCTAAATCGAAAAGCTGTAGAGTTTCCATGAGAAAAGCTCATATGTTTTTCTGACAGTAAATTGTACAAAAAATTATTCATTAATGGAGACAATCCACAAGCGTGGAGTTTCTCTGAAAGAACTTCAACGGATACTGAATCAAAAGCCCCCTTGATATCCAAGAACACAGAAGCCATTTGCTCTTTCTTAGCAAAAGCTAACTGAATTTCCGAGGAAAGCAACGCGAGACAGTCGTTCGTTCCCTTACCCCTACGGAAACCAAATTGAGTATCTGAAAGAAGGTGGTTCGTCTCAACCCATTTGTCGAGGCGAAAAAGGATCATTTTCTCCATCAATTTCCGAATACACGACAGCATCGCGATGGGCCGATACGAATTGTGATCCGACGCGGGTTTATCAGGCTTTTTAATGGCTATCACCCTTACTCGTCTCCAATCGTCGGGAACAATATTGAGCTCCAAGAACTGATTGTACAAGTTCAACATGCGCCTTTTAGCGACGTCTGGGAGGTTTTTCAGCAAGTTGAACTTGATTCTATCAGATCCCGGGGCAGAATTGCCACACGAAAGGAGAGCGAGTGAAAGTTCGACCATTGAAAAAGGGTGACTGATTTCGTCTACCGAATTCGCGGTTTCGCGAGGAATCAACTGCGACGGCACGGAATCCGGACACACTTTTCGCGCGAATTTAAGAATCCATTGATCCGAGCATTCCTCGCTTTCGTTGTTAGTAGACCGGTTACGCATTCTTCGCGCCGTACTCCAAAGCGTATTCATAGACGTTTCGCGCGACAATCCGTCTACAAACTGCCGCCAGTAACCCCGTTTTTTGGCCTTGATGAGGCTCTTGAGTTCGCGTTCAAGAGATGTGTATGCGTTGAAATGCTCGCGTGTTCCGCGTTTCCGAAAAAGTTTAAACGCGTCGGACTTTTTACGGTAAACCTCCGTGCATTGTTGATCCCACCAGAGCGATGGTGTTTTCTTACGAATAGACGATCGCGGCACCGGTCGTGTTTGAGCTTGAAGTGCGCTGTCGACGATGAGATTAGAGAGGAAATTATATTCCTCCAACGGCGGAAGCTCTTCCACTGACGATACTGTATCGTCTATCGCGGATTGGAACTAAGTCCAATCAATGTTACGGGTTAGATCATACGCGACGTTAACGGATTCTGACGAGTTGAACCCACTGGCAATCGAAATTTTGATCGGCAGATGATCACTACCGTGCGGATCCTGGATTACATGCCAAGTGCAATCCAACGATAGTGAATTAGAGCAAAAGGTGAGGTCTAATCTGCTACCATTCGAGGATGGACCAGCCAAACGTGTTACTTCTCCATTGTTAAGTATTGTCATGTTGAAGTTGTCGCAGAGATCATAAATCAAAGTAGAACGGTTATCATCGTACAGCAGCCTGTACCGTGGGAGTTAAAATCTCCCATGATCAACCATGGAGCGGGAAGTACCGCACATATATCGAAAAGTTGTTTGCGATTAACAGAGACTCTAGGAGCAATATATACAGAAGCAATACAAAGGCTCTTACCTTTAATGGTAGCTTGACATGCGACAACTTCAATACCGGGGAATTCGGGAAGATTCACTCTATAGAAGGAATGGCACTTTTTGATCCCCAAAAGTACCCCTCCTCCACGTGAATCCTCACGATCCAATCGAATAATGTTAAAATCAAAAAAAGGGAGATCAATTTCTGAAGAGAGCCATGTTTCACAGAGGGCAAATGCATCGCAATTATTGTTATGGACTAAATACTTGAACGAATCTAATTTCGGAATAAGACTTCGACAATTCCACTGTAGAACAGTGATCAAATCCCCGACCTCGTTTGGAAAATTATCCATCGAAGGAGATGATAGCTGCAAGAAGGGGCCATTTTGAAGTCAATTGCTTCAAGAAGGATTTCACAGTCGGAAGCAATGTGAGGACAATGCTTTTCAGAGGATCAGAAATGTTGAGGTATTTGAGAATACCGTCCACAATGTCATCAAATGAGAACAGCCCAGATGAAGAAGGGGTTTCTATTCTTAAAATTGGGGCATCAGGGGTTTTGGATGTCCCCGGAAGAGGTGGAAAATCCTGGGTATAATCAGTTCTGCGGAATCCAGGAGGAGTAGAAGTCTCCTTTTTTCCACCACTCCTTGATTTGGGCAAGCTGATTTGGGGTTCTTGATCTGCAGCTTTCCGCGAACGGATGCGTTTTCGTTTCCGGGCAGAACCTTCCGGAAAACTGAAAGAAACTCCCTCCTCAGCCAAGTCAGAGCCAGACTCGTCGTCTGACAAAAGAGCGAAGGGATTTGTTTCGTTGGTCGATGGCTTGGCTGTCTTAAGCATTTCTGCAAAAGACCGCCTGGAACGTTCCTTAAGGGAGCGTTTCATTTTGTCCCCGAGCTGTTTGTACGCCGGGCACGACGAGAGAGCATGAGGAGGAGTTCCATTGCAGTACACGCATTTTGGTGCAGTAGCTGCGCAGGCGCCATCCTCATGCTTCTCCCCGCATGTGGAGCAGCGTGCCTTGTTGCCGCAGTGGGAGGCCGTATGTCCCAACCGCTTACAATTCTGGCAGTTCATGACCCGAGGTACAAACAACCGCACAGGAAGACGAAGTTTTCCCAGCTCGATGTATTGAGGAAGGGCAGATCCAGAAAAGGTCACCCGAAACGAGTCTGTGGGGGTAAAACTCTTTTTACCCTCGCTGAGCGATACTGACTTCATTCTATGAACGGCCAGTATCTTTACCGGAGGAAGCAAGGGGTTCTTGAATCGGCCAACCGCTTGCTTCTCCAGTATCTCGGGGTTCAGGCTCGCCTCAGTGACCACGCCTTCGATCTCCACATCAGAGGCTGGAATGTACACCCTATATTCCAGTGTGAAAAACTGGGAAACAGCAATTTCATTAGCTTGTTTCAGGTTAGCGACGGTCACACGAAGTTTGTTGTGCCTAACCTTCGTTATTTCGGTCACGGCAGAGAATCGCTTTGTCAGATCATCAGATATCTGAACAACATTCAAGGGTTTGTTTTTGGGCTGAAAATAGACAACCCATGGGCCAGTCGAGTCATTCGGGTAGGCCCGCAATCTGGAGTTTTTCTCAGCCTGCCCATTGACAGACTGAGACGACGAACCAGGGATGACATCATCATTTTTCTTAGATGAATGGTCATCCATGTCGTCTTCTGACAAAACATCCATTTTGTTCAACTAGTGGGAGCGCAAAACGCTCTCCCACTGAACGCACAGACACAATACACAGAAAACACTACAAACACAGAAATACAAAATGAAAATTTAACTAATGGGGGAGGAAAAGAAACAAGAAAAAAACAAAAACTTATCTGATAATCCTATACTACTACCACCGGGCGTTATATGTGTAGGCGTTTACACAGATGGCTGGAAGAGACGCGCTGCGTGGATGACCTTCGTTGTGGTGCACTTGATCGAGGCTCGGTACTCAGCGCACACAGGCGCACGATGATTGATGAACGATGTAGATGTAGAAACGGGTGCTCACACTCGATGATGATGATACGTAAGCGGGTATGCGTGAGCGCGTATGCGTGACCACGCAACGATGATGCCCAAATTGGTTTGCGAATTACCAATAGCACGGATTAATCGTTCCGAAAATGACACTTTCTACTTAAAAAAAACTCACTTTTCGATCAATTTACCGGGAACTATGCCAGGAGTCACGTAGTGAGAAAAAACTGATAATTTATATCAAGCGAATACCGAGAAAACTTCCAAAACAACGGAGCGCGAAACAAGTCGACCGTACTTCTTGCTAGGACGCAGTGGTATGTGATGCAGGTTATGACATTCGGGGCTTGCTGCTCCCCAAGCACTGCACAGTTCGTGAAAAATACCAATGCGGAAAGATTCGCGAACAAATATCCAGCTGCATGCGAAGCTATCATGAAGTCTCATTACGTAGATGACATGCTCGTCAGTGTGGATACAGAAGAGCAAGCGATCCAGTTGGCGAAAGACGTTAAGCATGTACACGAGCAGGGTGGCTTTGAGATCCGAAATTGGGTAAGTAGCTCGAGAAAAGTACTTTCATCGCTACAGGAGGCAAACACCGACGAAAAATGTCTCGACTTATCTCCAGAGCTGGCCACTGAGAAGGTGTTAGGCATGTGGTGGAACACGAGCGACGACGTCTTTACCTACAAAGTCGGATGGAGCCGCTACGACCCGGCTCTGCTAGAAGGCCAACGACGTCCGACGAAGCGGGAAGTGCTGCGTGTTCTAATGACCATTTTCGATCCGCTCGGCTTTCTATCGTTCCTGAAGATCCTACTCCAGCAAATCTGGCGGTCCGGTATGCAATGGGACGAAGAAATCGACGATAATGCAAACGAAAAATGGAACACATGGCTGCAAGTTCTGCCTAGAGTTGAACAGGTTCAAATCCCTCGATGCTATAACTCCAAATACCCCGCGGAAGAAGCCGACGATATCCAACTCCACACGATGGTGGATGCCAGCGAAAATGGCATGGCCGCCGTTTGCTATCTGCGTTTCGTCAAGACCGGAACGATCATCTGCTCCATCGTCGCCGCAAAAACAAGAGTCGCACCGCTTAAGTTTACGTCGATCCCAAGGATGGAACTAGCAGCTGCAGTCCTTGGCGCCCGTTTGGCTCGCGCTGTCGAAGGATCGCTGTCCATCCAGATCTGCAGGAAGGTGTACTGGTCAGATTCCCGAGACGTCCTATGCTGGATCAACTCGGACCATCGCCGCTATAGTCAATACGTTGGTCACAGGATCAGTGATATTGTAGAGATTTCGGAAGCACGTGAATGGCGGTGGGTCCCGAGCAAGCTAAACTGCGCTGACGACGCTACCAAGTGGAGTAGCCTACCAGATATGTCATCAGATCATAGATGGTTCAAAGGAGCAGACTTTCTCTGGCACGCTGAAGAAGATTGGCCACCATCACCAACACTTAGTGGATCTACGGAGAACGAACTTCGCCCTTCCTTTCTGGCTCATCACGTACCATCAGAACCCGTCATCAATGTCAGCAACTACTCAAGCTGGAAGAGGCTCGTCAAAGTTGCAGCACTAGTTCATCGTTTTATGAACAACTGTCACCTAAAACACACCAGGAGACCGATTCGTACGGGACCACTAACAGCAAACGACCTGCTGATCGCCGAGTGTTCGCTGATACGGCTCGCTCAACGGGAAACGTACCCCGATGAAGTTGCAGCTCTTCAGAAAGCTAGATGTTCTGATTCTTACACAAGTAGTGTCCCAAAAACCAGCTCACTTTACCAGTTAACGCCATGGTTGGACGAACGTGGAATTCTGCGTATGCGAACGCGCATTGCTGCTTGTCATTACGCCACTGATGATGCGAAGAGCCAATCATTCTCCATCGAAACCACCATACTACCACCCTGATCGTAGCATACTACCACCACAAATACCACCACCAAAACCACGAAACCGTTATCAACGAAATACGGCAGAAGTTTCGCATCCCTCATCTACGCACCTGTTACGAGCGCGTACGAAAGGATTGCCAGTGGTGTAAGAACCAGTACGCAGCACCCAGCCCACCGTACATGGCCGATCTTCCGCTAGCCCGCCTCGCTGCTTTCTCGCGGCCATTCACACATGTGGGAGTTGACTACTTTGGGCCGATTGAGGTTGTCGTCGGAAGGAGAGTCGAGAAGCGGTGGGGAATGTTAGCCACTTGCCTGACCGTACGAGCAATCCACATAGAAGTTGTACATTCACTTTGCACAAGCTCCTGCATTATGGCGATCCGCAACTTCATTGCACGGCGTGGAACTCCCCAGAAGATTTACAGCGACCGCAGAACGAGCTTCGTCGGTGCAAATCGGGAACTCCAGCAAGCCAACGAAGAAGCAGTCAATCAACACGAACTGATGAAAGAATTCACGAGCTCTGGAATCGAATGGGTGTTCAACCCACCTCTGTCGCCACACATGGGCGGTAGCTGGGAGCGACTGATTCGCACCGTCAAGAAAAACTTGATGGTTGTTTGTTCGTCGAAGAGGCCATCCGACGAAGTACTCCGCAATCTGCTAACCGAAGTGGAGAACACCGTCAACTCGCGTCCGTTAACTCACGTGCCGATAGATGAGGATTCGGCCCCAGCGTTGACCCCGAATCACTTCTTACTCGGTTCGAAACCGATCACGAGACTCGATGATAGCCGAGCGGCTGTAAAGCAGAATTGGTGTACCTCACAGATTTTAGCAAACCAATATTGGAAGCGTTGGGTGTCGGACTACCTTCCAGAAATCACTCGCCGCACCAAATGGTTTCGTTATACAAAACCGATCGCCGTGGGCGATATTGTAGTTATCACCGATTCCAAAATGCCCCGCAACTGTTGGCCGAAGGGGAAAGTTATCAGCACCAAAGTCAGCCAAGATGACCAGGTTCGGTCCGCAACCGTGAGGACAGCGAGCGGTGTCTACGACCGTCCGGCAACGAAGCTGGCTGTATTAGACGTCCGGTGCGACGGAGAGTAAGCCAACCAGGGGTTATCGTACCCTGGGGGGAGTGTTGGCCACACTGGCCTGAGCACACCTACCGTTGGAACCTACTTGTGTCGGAACACCCCTGCAGTGGGTTCGGCAGCGAAGTGACAGCGGAGTGACAGATATCGATCTGTCACACCGGGTGAGTAGAGGAGAAAAACAACCGAGAACAAAGCAAAACAAGTGTAAAAGTAAATTCATCGCTCTCGTTATTCTTAAAATTATCTAGTAATCTAGTGAACTTAATTATAGTTGAACTTAAAGCTAATGTGATTAGTCACTACTAGATTTATCTTATATCTACACACTAAATTAGGTAAGTTTAATACAATTAAACTTAGCTTAAATGTAACTAAAAACTATGCTTACGGACTAGGTAACCTAAACCTATCATTGAACACCATACACTCTACTCCGTGAAACCCGTAGCCACTGGTATCGGTAAGAAGTTAAAGCAAAAGTATGTATAAAATGTATATCGATGATCTTACTTACAATTACCTAAACTAGGGCTTACAACTAAACACTTCGACGGCATCACGCTAGACAACACCCGAAATTATACTAAAAGGAAACTAAACGTAAGTCACAAAATTCCCTCCCCATGGACATGGAGGTTGACGGTACTGAAGCAAAGGGTTATTTTTTTTTTTTTATAATTACTTTATTTGTACAGGCTCAATCGAATAAACTTTACAGAGCCGAGTTATTCTTTGCGTTATACATTATTACTGTCTTAAATTTAAAGTTAAAGGAACTGGACCGAGTACTCGCAGTTGTCTCGAGGTTAGTGGAGATTTACAATTTTTTGGATGGGAAAAGGGAAGAAGGAGGTTTGAAATGTGGTTTACGATACAACTATTTAATTAATCCTAAAGCATGAAATTATTTCTATTCATCTTGAAAACAAACATTGAAAAAAAAAACCCACACGTACAAAATACAAACTAAACACAAGGTTAATCAAACTTACAATCTAAGGTTAATATCCTTAAAGTAAACATATATGAGTTTCATAAACTCCAGATCGCGTCTAGCCAAAATATCCCGAACTGGAACATTAGGTTGTCTACCTCGAGCCCGAAGGGAATCATAAAAATGTGATCTGACTCCACGATACTCCGCACAAGACCAAAGGATGTGATCAGCGTCCTGGTAACCTTGTCCACATTCACAGAGATTGCTGTCTCCCAACCCCACACGGAACAAGTGAGCGTTTAGACAATAGTGATTGGACATGAGACGAGACATCACGCGTATGAAGTCTCGACTCAAGTCCAACCCTTTGAACCATGCAAACTTCGACACCTTAGGGATAATTGAATGTAGCCATCGTCCCAAGCTCCCTTCACTCCATTGATGTTGCCAGCTAACGAGCGACTGCTGACGATAAATAGAGAAAAATTCACTATAGGCGATCTGTCGATCATAAATGTCGCCTTCAAAGCAAAGGGTTATGTTTAATTTCTTTATATTTGCAACGATGATGATTTCCTATAGTGACACATATCACCTTCTTAATGCTTCAGTATGCCTCAAACGATTAATTCTTGGTTGTTAATAGAACTTCCTTGATGAAATCGGCTGCTTCATGCAGACTGAGCAATTCTGATTATAGTATCAGATTTGTTCTGTATACAGAGGAACTGGGAGGGCTTATTAGAAACTTCTCACCAATAAAGTAATGATCTTCTAGTAAATTTTGCATATCATTTTATTAATATTTTATTTTATCGAAGCATATTATTTTTTTACAGTCAATCAGCTTTAGCATACGATACAAGAGATTTAATATTACTTGCTCGTTTTTGCGTTAAATAATCAATATTTATTTTACTTGTAATTACCTTTGAAAGTTTTTTTTTTCAAGTTTTTTTTTTGTGATCTGAAAATTTTCCCAGTTTGGTTAGAAGTTTCGAAGCTAACGCATGTCCACAGGCCCAATAGAAAGATAGACAGAAAAAGTGTATCATGAAGAATGGTTGCATGCACTTGCTATAGATGAGTGATTTTCGGAGTTTTGAATTCGTTAGATGTTGTAATAGAGATTTGAGCTGTTGGAAGCGTGAGGAGATTGGAGGGCGGGTGTTTGACGCATAGAGCCTGTCAATTTCGCTTTCAGAGTGTCGCAGTCAGCGGTTTTATGATTCGTGAACGCTCGCGATTCATAGAATCGTTGATTGTGACTGCAAGTGGATTTGACGGGTTTTGTGTGTCGGACGCTTGCTTTTTGGCCTCTTCTTGTGTCTAACATGTGCAGAGTATCATTATAACGTCTAATGGTTTTGATATTCCTGGTGGCGTGAAATATATTTGTGAGAATATTTTTTTGAGATTTTAGCAGTCACGTTTTGTTTGTAGTTTATATTTTATTTATTTTATGTTATTATCGTAAATAATAGTTATTCAATAATAGATAGTTCATCCATATATTCGTACTTTGACGCGAAGTGCTGTGGATTATAAGATGCTCGATGACCCTCGAGGGATCGATTTTGCTTACTGAGCAGAAAATCATGGATTTAACCCCATGCTCTTCCACAGCACAATAAATCGCCACCATAATTTGTATATTTGATATTGAACATTAACCTCGGAAACTATTTGCATATCAAGCGAAAACGTAGTCCTGTATTGTCGCGAAGCGTAATGGTTCTGAGATACTCGATGACCCTGGAGGGATCGTTTTTGCTTACTGAGCAGAAGATCATGGGTTTAATCCCAAGCTCTCCGTCATGACTCTTAAAATTCATGATCACTAAACAAAATGAATATGTTCTTTCGATAGCCGTTTATTTCGACAACAAATAAACAATACATACTTTTGGTTGCATCGCCAACTTGAGGTGAATCCTAACCGAATACCCTACCCAACCCTCCAACTCCGTAGCACTTATGAGGGTGTCACTAAGTCGGTGGCCTCTCGTTAAGTAAGTACTACATCAACATTTCCTTCCCTATCCCTAGTTATGGTAAAGATGAGCGTGGCCGGGAATAGCGACAGTCATGCTTCTGTTACTCTTGTTTAGATTGGAACCAATGTTTACTCCTCAGCATTATTCCTGAAAGTAGTCTAACTGAGAATTTCAGAAGAGACGTGAGTGTCGCTAGTATCCAATCTACGAAGTATATCATAACAACGCTAACGCTAACGCTAACTAAACGTAAGTCACAAAATTATAATCTACACTTACAATTAGGACTAAAATTAGGTTGAGAACATAATGATAAACAATGTCATGTACACTCTACCTACATTCCAACCTTAAGCAATATCAAGGCCACATAAATATATATATAGACTAACTAATTCCAATTGAAATTGTCGTTATCTAACACAGGAAATTATATTCTCGATATCACCGGATTATACGTCTTTTATTCGCTTCCGGTCGAGAATCATAGTATCGGAAACATCCCGTTGAAACTGAATTTCAACAATATATGAACACCATTTGGGTTTGTTCGCTATGCACCCAATCAAGATAATTTCTTTGTGCAATCTACCCAAATTAATCTTAGCGTGCAAAGTTATGAACGCGCAGGGAGAAAAAAAAATAGTTCACCCGTTGACCGCCTTTCTCAGTCAGGCGCCACATTTTTGTTACCAGTTTATTTTCCGAAGTGGCAAATCTGTGTTTTAATTATCTAAGATACGATCAATGCCTTATCATTGCACAAAAACTGATATTTCGTAAATTAACGTTGATTACAAAAACTTGATGAACATTGGCCTACATTAACACGTGCGGGTAAGACCTTCACTCCTTGCCACTATGGGAAATTTCCATGCAAGCAAGCGGACAAAAATATTTTCTTCATTTTTGCTTCAATGTAAGATGTTGAATGGTTGTAATTATTAACTAAGAGACGAGGAACACATTTTGATGATTCACGAACAAGTTTTGATAAGGGCTTAGTTTTTAATTGATCTTTATTGATAATATTTTCTAGTCTTTTTCTGCAACATTTACCTACGGACAACATATTGTGAATTTTACAACATATCTTCCATTTCAAAGAATGGTTATATTCGTTCTTCTTAGTTTATTTCAGTTATGCAACAGTATGAGTGAAAAATTGGGGATTAAAATTAACTTTTACGGGTAATACTCCTCTCACGCCAAAGTTACGAGTTCAAATCTCACCCCGGACAAGTCACGAATGACTCAAGAGTCTTTCAGTGACTATAATAAAAAAAAAATAACTGCGAGAAACGGTATAAATTTTATTTCAATCTTTTTTTTTATTGTTTTCTCGATATTGCACATTTTTTATTATTCGGCACTGCTATCATCACTAGCAAAATCTTCTTCAACTTCGTCGACAGCTTTCATATGTTCTTCCAATGCATTGCAGTTATCATCACCGACTGTTGAGCAGTTTTCAGAATCTTCGAATATCATAAAACTTTTGACAATATCGGGATAGCTCAACGCTTTTTTTGATTGTCTTCTTTTCTACATCCAAATGGTACTAATGAATGGATCTGATTCATTCATTGCCCGAATGATGACATCATGTAAATTTTCGACTCTGGATCGTTTTCTAGCATGATGAGTTCGATATTTTTTCAGCTGTTTATGCTGACTTTCTGATGCTTCTTCTGCTAATATTCCAAGAGGAGCTGACGAATGAATTGTTATTTCACCAGCATGAGCAAGTACTTTATGTACGATTGCAGGAATTTTATACCAATAATATAAAGAAAGATAAAGTTGGTATGTGTCTTTGCAATAGGCATTATATTTTTCTGGATTAATTGGCTCCTAACTGTTGATAGTAATTAAAATGTTTCGAAACCTCACAATTAATTCATTGTCGATATTTAAAAAGCTGCTTAAAAGATGAGGATTTGCGAATCCTCGTCGACAAACGTTACCTGTAGTGCTCGCACCTGTTCCTCCCGATCTTGGTTGATCAACTCTAACTCCAAATTTTTCATAAAGCTGTGCCGTTACTTGTTTTTTTTCTTTGCAGATACTGTTCTT